CTCCGCCTGTGCTTGTAGATGCTCCAGCGGGGTTGGATTGTGCGCCAGATCCTTCGGCAGGGCTTTGAGGTTGCGCGGTGCCAGATCCTTCGGCAGGGTTTTGAGGTGGCGCACTGCCAGCTCCTGCGCTTGTAGATGTTCCAGCGGGGTTGGAATGTGTGCTAGATCCTCCGCCAGGGGTTTGAGATTGTGGCGTGCCAGCTCCTACGCCTACGGTAGGTTCGGCGCCGTCATCAGGTGCTGCTCGTCCAATAGGCTCTCCGCTCCCTCGTTTTCTTTCAGGCGCTATGTCTTCATCCTCGCTGAACATGGTTCCTCTTTTAAGAGTCGGTGAGATAGGTGTTATAGGCGTTGGGCCAGGAAAATGTATGTTTAGAGAGTCGAAAAAACTTTGACTCCATTTACCGTTACCAGGAACTTTAAGTTGTCTGTGCGCTACTTGTCGAAGCTCTATAAAGTATTATAAGCGGCTACATTAAGTTTTCAGTGCGTATTTACTTTTATATGCATCAAGGTCGTCTGCAATTACAGAGTTCACGAAAATTACTAGGATTCTTTGTGCCTGATGTTTGGGGAAGTTCGGGCTAATAAGTAAGGCTTTCGAGATGGGGGCTTTAGCTGGACAATCTTTTAGATGTTCCAGAAGAAGGCGCTTTGATACCAGCTTAAGCTCCGGGATATCTTCCCAAACGTTGTCGTCTTCGCCGAAATCTGCTGCTAAAGAGTCAAATGTTGTTGCCATAACTTGCAATCGAGGGAAAGACAAAAAGAGAAGTAAATAAGGATAATAGATTTCGCGTGATAAGATGCTATTTAACATTAGGCAGCTGACTATTCTTAGCACTGCGGTGAAGCCAGGGCCTGTCTACAAATAGAATTTAGCTATAGACTTGTATCAAAATTGTGTGGAATCCTAATTATAGTTTAGTGTAGATTACATTAGGTCTCCCTCGATTTCTATCTTTAGGACTCTTAGAGAAACACTTTATCACCTGCCCCTTAAGTTACTTAGGAGCTGAATCAATTTTCCGCGCTAAAAGTTTGTATGTCTAGTGTGGCGTAATCTAAACCAATAACGCGGATTGGATATGTCCAAAGAAGAGTAAGTTACTATAACGTAAATTTAGGCGGCTTATAAAGAACTAAACTACAGTTGCACAACTTTAAACTCCTAGATATCCTGCTTTGCTCTTCGCATATCTTTATCCAGACTCATTCAAAACAATAGGGTAAATGAGAGTCGCAAGTTCTAGGCCCCTGATAAACACTACCTGCGGTTTAGCTTATACTGAATAGGCTACGGATTGGTTAGTCAATGCATCCTATAAATTAAAGTGCCACTTGCCTGAAGTTGGCTCTTGCTCTTTTCTATAGTAATCCAGCTCAAGCTCCTTCTCTATTAGGGCCGCCTCGAGCTCTCGAACCCTGACACGTCTTTGCTCATTCTCACCCACGAGATCACTGATGCCAAAAGTGTCTGTGAATGCCTTGTCAATATCACCGTTGCCTTCGGCCTTCATAAGGTCATCGAACATGCTGCCTAGGCGACTTGACACTGCAGCGATACAATCCCTTTGCTTCTTAACGTCGTTGAACCGTTTCTCCATTGACTGTAGTGCTTCCTCCTCATCTTGCCGTTGTTGATGGATCTCCGACATTTCAGTCTTGTGATTGGCGACCACAGTCTCAAGACAATGCATGTAGTTCATAGTGTACTGTTCTCGAAGAAAGAGATTCCTGAGGAAGTTGGACCGCTTATCACAGACATAGCAGTACGGAGTTGGGGTCTATCGTAGTTAGCCAAGGCTAGTATTATGAGAACAGTACCCTAACTTCCGCTGTTAAGTTATCTGCTTCCGTCGTTGAGTTACGAAGAACATGCTCCATAATGTACTTCATGGATGTAGATTTCTGGTAAAGTGAGTAGGCGAAGGCCTCCATCATGAAGCAAACTTACAGTCACTTCAGCCGCAGGGTTACTTGCTGCTGCAGCTAAGATGTAGTCCATAGTTGCGATAAGTATTCTTTCTAGCTACTTAGTATCTTGGGGACGACGAAAGCTCTTATACGACTCGGATTTCTAAATATAGTTTATTTATGCAGCGACATGAAACCAGTGATTTAATTCCCAAAACGCGTGAAACAGGGAGCCACCGATGCTTTAAAAATAGTATCAAATATATCCCCCCAAGCCCACCACGTGGTATCTTCCTAGGACCAAGGCTCATTCCTCGAGGTCCAGTACTCAGAAGGGAATACTATGCCAAGCCCAGCATAGGGATGGTCGGGAATTTCAATAAGCCAACTTTCCAAAGGATAATCGGTGTATGTATTGGCAGGAATCTGCGGCGGACTGAGCGCCTGAATTTGACTCTCAGTGTGATGCGAGAGGTCTTCCTGCGCTTGGCTTCCAGTCGGTTGCGATTGATTGATATTGACTTGAGAATGTGGTTGAGCTGCAGCTACTACCTTTTGAGGCTATCGATGATTAGCGATTATGCTGCAGTGACTAGACTTTCAAAGGCCAAGCTGGAGTGTGAATCCCTACGCGTTTCATCCGTCTCCATTTCGACTCCAGCGCCCATTGTGATCGATTGCTATCGGATATGGCGTTGAACATACTGTGGCATGTCTGCCATGTATCCTCAGGAGCTTCAGTTCGCAACCGATGAAGTAGCTTCGTGTCATCGGTGGTCCATTTTTCGATAAACGGTCGACGGGATATAGGTCTGTATCCTTGCTGTGCTGGAGAATGCTCGTTATCCCTTGCAGAATTCATAATTGTACAGCGAAGTGATGATGGTAATGGTTTTGTTGTTGCTGTATACAGGAGTTGTGAATAGTTTGTGGAAGGGCTTCTGAAAAGCGGCAGACCGTGCTGTTCTAAACACCGTTACTGTGCCGCAATGTTGGCTATCACATCACTGTCTCTTTCCCTCTTCTCATCTTTGCCGCGTGTGCCGAACTGTTGGCTTGACCATATGATAGGCGGAAAAGCGTTAAATGCGGCACAGTTTCCACCCCACAATTTTGAATCGCGAATCAGCTACGCTAGACGAGCAGCTATCGGTGCCGCGGCATCAATAAGCGCTACCTTCGCATGCCTTCAACATCTCGACGCAACCTCGACGCAACCTCGACGCAACCTCGACGCAACATCTTTCTGCTATAAATGGTGAAAAGATGTCGCAGATTGGATGGCGTGAAACTATCTACCATGGTTGCCTTTATAAAAGCCTCCGAATCGGCCCACCCTTTCGCAGCATCAACGAAATGGCAACTGACAATCTCAACCTGGAAGGCGTGACAGCTGGCATGTCCGATAAAGAGTGGGAAAGTCTCCTTTTGAGCATCGAATGTGCTTCTCCCGAACACCTTTCCCCCTTGACTGCTGCCGATCAACACCTTGAACGTCCAAGTCCGCCCACGACTGATCAAGCGCTGTCCGACAGCACATTCGGTTTCTCGCCGACGCCTTCGGCCAACAGCTACTTCTTTTCCTCTGGATCATTGAGACCTCCAAGATGTCAGGCTACCCCCTTGGATATATCGCAACCTTTTCCCCAGCTGATAGCACAAATTGAGTCGTAAGTCAGCATCAGAATCTTGAATTCTTTGTCTAACGTAAATAGGCGATTGAGGACTATGGATGACTTTTCTGTGAACATGGAGGCATGGGCGATGTCATTGGCAGCCAGAATGAATGAGATAATAGGGAATTTGAATCGAGTTCGTGATTGCAAAGTAAACCAGGATCAGTAGAAATTGCATGCACGAGCTACAAGCGCTAGGCGCGTGGAGATTACCGTTACATGCATCACCTGCATAGAATTTTGATCTCGTGATCGTTACCCCAGTCCCCGAAGTGACTCGATTCTCCGTGCACACCCGGTTTAGCGCACAGACCTCCACGCTGTTCTTGGCATGCGTCATCGCTCCCCTCAATGCTTTCAGGACCTCGTCACCCTCCTAATCACATCCACCCTTGAACAGCCAGCGACCGAGAATCATAAGAGCAACACGAACGAAAATCTGTCAGCAACAACCAAATCGTCAACAGACACCAGCCCCGGAGTCGACACCAGAGACGGCCCCGGAGTCGGAGCGCATCCAAGAATGTCTCGCGATGCCACCAACGGCAGCCTAGGATTCGAAGTGCATCATTTCAAAGCCGGAAGCAAAGATCTTTTGGGATCGAGGATGGCCAATGCATCAAGAACAGCGTGGAAGTCTGTGTGCTAAATTGGGTGCTCCGATTGCTGGCGCTAGCAACTGTAGCTATTACAAGCAAAGAGGATCTTTAAGGCATGTTGCTAAAAATAGTTCTAAATCCCCTACAATTCTTTAACCCATAAAAGGTCCCATTTCGTACGTCTCCCCAGCCCGCATGTTTCCGCGAGCCTTACATCTTTTACTCCCGCACGCCTTTTGCTCCCGCACGCCTTTCAAGGCCCTACATCTTTCACTCTCGCACGCCTTTCACTCCCGCACGCCTTTTGCTCCCGCATACCTTTTAAGGTCGTACACCTTTCACTCCCACACGCCTTTCAAGGCCCTACACCTTTCACTCC